ACAATCTTTCAATATGGAAACTCAAGGTCTGAAAATTCCCTTCCATTATTTCAGCTCAGGTAAATGCTGAGCATGTTCTTTCCTTTGGGGTTTCAAGCTCCAGGTCTGTGCATATTTAGTTATAATATTCTACTTCTTCTTCTCAAGCCATCTGTTGAAATATTCCGTTCAGCTCTTTTACTTCATTTTTTCTGTTCACACTTTAACTACTCTGAGTTCAAAGGCAAGTTTCAGACTCTTCTGCCATACTCTCTAGGTCTTTTAATTCTTCCCACCTTTTAAATGACCTTTTGTTTATATATATATATTTACACCATTAACATATATTGCCTGGTAATAAAATTATATAAAATACAAAGGTGGAAATGGTGAAGGAAAGAATATTAGAATAAGATAATTGACAGTAAAAACATATTCTCTTCCTTTTTTCTCTCTCTCTGTGATGAGATATATTCTTTTATGTGGCCTTTTGCCTTGGTTCTTCGGAAAAACAGCTTGAGAAATGTTTCTTTTAAGTTCTAAGGAATGACATTTTCCCTCATTTTCTAGAAGGTTTTTTATTGTTTTACTAAGTTGATTGGCATTTTGGGTAAATTGTAAGCAGTTTGGGTTGACAAATTTTGTCTGGTCTGAGGCTTCAGCCTGCTATTTGATTGGTCTGAACAGAGACTGTTCAGTAGGCTAGGCAAATGAGGTGAATTGAAGCCTAACTCTACCTAATATGCAAATGAAGTGTCTGTGGCCTACTGAGAAGATATTGGTCAGTTTATGGCTCTCTTGGAAAGACATGTCTGGAAATTTCTATATTGGAGCCTGCTCAATAACCTAGAGGTCGGCAGTAGAAAGAAGCAGCAAGAAGAAACAGAAGTAATTAAAGGAAAGAGAAAAAGAGAGAGCAAGACAGAGAGAGAGAGAAGAAAATAACCATCCAAAAGAGTTGTAAAACTGAAGACAGTGAGGGCTCAGTGACAGAAACAGTGGTGACAGGCCCCAAAGTGACCCAACAGCAAATCTGATAGTGTTAGATTGCCCGGCCCAAAGAGCCAGCCTAGGCAGAGTGAGGGGAGCGTGTCCTCAGGGTGCTGACAGCAGTGAGAGAGCTGTCCAGCACTGAACATGGGAGATCCTGTCGACAAACTTCTTGATTTTCTAGTTATAGCCTGTTAATCCTAAGTTCAAATTGTCGTCTTCTCCTTCATAAACTTAATGAAAGTTAACCTACATAACTGGCAGTATAGCCTATGTGTTCTGTAATAGCATTACAATGGGTTTTGAATCTAGCAAAGAACTAGCGAGTGCCTGGGAAGGGAAGGCTGGTGAAAACTCAGTAAAGGCTAGATAGTGTCTTCCACTTCACAGAGATCCTGCTTAAGCTGAACGTCATTCCCATTATCCCTTCTGAAGTTGGACAGATTCTACTGCTGAAACTTCCTATCATTGTTCCTATGATTTTACGCTTTCTGGATTCTCTTCTTCTTCTTCTTTTGTCTGCCTCTCTCTGTCCCGTTTTAGAATTTTAGAGGAATTAAAATGAATCAACCCTCGGCCTCGCCGAGAGCAGGGGATGGGGTGGGCCTTGGGAAGGTACGTGAGATGATAGTCAATTCCAGGTGTTCTGCTGAGTTCTGGCTCTTGTCTTCACGTGAGGGTGTCAAAGCTAAATATCCCTGGATGTTAAGGACTTGCGCCTTTCCAACGACCTTCACAACCAGTTTTGAGCTCTTCAGAGGTGCTGACTAGGTTTGTGGATCTTCAGATCTCTATGCTCCCTGCAAATTCTGCCTCTTAGTGATAGTGATTTATTTTACATAAATAAATTGGCTATCTGATTGGGGAGAGTGCATGGAGGTCTTTAATGCATGCAGTGCTATGAAGAGGACTAATGTTGTCAGACATTTTCTTTTCAAGTTTATAAATCATTGTATACTTTTTCCATTACTATTATCTGGGAAAATCAATACACTGTAAAACATTGATACATTAAATAAGATAAGTCCTGATTGCTGCTAAGAAGTGTTACAGTGGAGCCTGTTCTAGAATGTAAACAATAATCATTTATACTTAGCAGGGTTATGATTCATATGAAAATGGTTCTGCTCAAATGGCTTTGAGTGGAGGAAAGTAATTGACTTTTTTCGGTAAGCTGAACACCCTTCTTGTGCTTGCTCATACTGTTTATTTGTTTTGTTAATTATTAAAAAGTGTATTGAAAACTTAAGACAAGGTACACCCTACATTATTAATTTTAGAGGTTTAAAAAAATCATAATTTTAGTGGAGTGGATTTTATCATATTTCTTTCCATTTTATTAAAAGAAATTGAGTATCCTGGTGATATCTCAGCTAGGGCTTAGACTGATAACAGAGAGATAGAGAGGTGGTTCCGACCCACCAGCCATTCTATGGGAGAAAAATGGGGCTGTCTCCTATAAACCATTCAGCCTTGGTGGCCTTGTGTAGGGTCTCTATAAATAAGGATGAATTCATTGGCAATGAGTTTGTTTTTCTTTTAAGAAAAGGGTGAAAGATGAATTTTAGTGTGTGGTAGTATTCCAGGAAAATATTCTATTTCCATGACTAACCAGGAAGTATGCATTCATACTATTATTGTTGTCATCTGCCTTCTGGTGATTTCTAACTTACAGTACTCTATCGGACAGGGTAGAACTACCCTCTAGGGCAGTGGTTCTCAACCTGTGGGTCGCAACCCCTTTGGGGGTCGAACAACCCTTTTACAGGGGCTGCCTAATACATCCTGCATATCAGATATTGACATGACAATTCAACACAGTAGCAAAATTACAGTTATGAGGTAGCAATGAAAATAATTTTATGGTTGGGGGTCACAACATGAAGAACTGTATGAAAGGGTCGGGGCATTAGGAAGGGTGAGAACCACTGCTCTAGGGCTTCTTAGGCCACGTAGGTGAATATTGCCAGGTCCGTTTTACTGCAGCGCCACTGGGTGGGTTCTAACTGCCAACCTTTGGATAGAAGCCAAGTACTTCACAATTGAGCCATGAGGGCTCATTACATATCCGTAGTCCTTCCTATTGATCTCTAATACAGAGTTCCAATCTGAAGATTGCAAAGGCTGAACATTCTAAACTCTTTAACTCCCAGTGATTGTAGGTATTATCTCGTGTAAAGCTCACGTCACACCAGGGATTCGTTTCCTTCCCCTGCACTGAATTCTTCTCGCACTGAGTTAAAACGTGACGATGAAGAGTGCATAAGGTGGACTGGTGGCAGGTTTGGGAGAGAATTAAATGTTCTCTTTAAAATCTGCAGGGCCTCCTTTTGTCCTGCTGTGCATCCTGTGGCATTTTGAAATGAAACTACTCAAAGGAGAAAGCTCCATGACAAGGAGTTCTTGTTAAAAAGAGTAGATGACAGAATAGTTGTTTCCCGGGGCGTTCCATGGAAACGCCCATTTGCAATGAAACTGCGGGGTTTCCTCCACGTGCTTGCCCTCCCCGCTTGAATGAAGGCTGATGCCCCTCCAGCCCCACTGGCTTTATTTCAGCGGAGTGGGATTTTATTCCCTACGAGAGAGAATAATAATGAACAGAGAATGCAATTTCACTCCAGTCCTTGCCTGGACACTCGCATTTTAGGATGTAGAATTTCTGAAATCTGTCACGAGTCGAAAGTCGATGTCGCCTGGATTTCTTGGAGAAAAGTTAGCAAGTTTCTCCCGAGTGGTTCGCCGCCACAAAGAGGGAGCCACACACACGAGGCATAAAGACAAGACCGGACGAAGACTTTAAGTGGAGCGAAGATTTAAGAAGCTAAGTAAATGCTTCCATCACAAAGAAGCATGTGAAGAAGCTGAGGACGTTTAGCAATAGGACATAGGATTTTATAAGGGTTGGGTAGCAGTACCCCATTGGGGGGCCTCCTCCCCTATCTTGCTTTCCCATTGGCCGTTATTCTTGCATCCTGATTGGTCCGTAATCCAGCATAGTGGTTGGTCTCATTTTGCATGACTTCAGAATTTCATTATCATATGGGGCCGTGTCAGTTGGATAGGTCATCTATCTGGAGGAGACTTCTAGAATGATAGAATGGATAGTGTTAGGCAATTTGGAAGGAGTCATCCAAATCTCTAAGTGCCCTTGACAGGATAAGGTGGAATGGGCCAGCTGGGGCGAGATCGGGATGAGTTATCCTCACAGGACCAGTGATATGGATCAGGTGAGATGATTAAGGATAGGTCATCCAGGCCACTAGCTGACCCTGACAAGATCTATTTTAATAGAAGATAGTAAGATATTTCTTGTCCAAACATCATATGTCTCAGCATTTAAAAGCCCATAGCACTTATGTTTTGCATTAACTGCCCCCCCCACACACACACACACTTTGGTAGTGGTGGTGTGAATAATACAGAAGAGCATACCTCCATTGAGCAGTTTATGCACCTGCAGTTCAAGGTAATTATATTCTTCAAGCTGCCCTGTCATTCCCACCCTCCCTTCCTGACCTGTTCTTCCGCCTTTAATGTGAACTCCCAATCCCCCTGGTTGTCTGTCTTGTTTTCTGCAATGCTGTTGGCAATTTGATCCTGTATAGATAGGACAGTACTTTTCAATCAGCAGAACTACCTCACTACTTCTTGTACTCTAGTATTTAAAACTCAGAACAGAAGTTTCAAACGAATTGACCAACTATTGTAAGCCAAATTAAATACGTTATACTATTTAGGATGCTTTTCAATGATGCCCATGACATAGCTCCCTGGAAACGTTGGGACCCTGTGGTAACAGAAGGAGGGGATTATCAAGAAACAGATAAACCCCTGTTCGTGAGAGTTTCTGTCTTGGCACCACCCCTCAGGATTAGGTATATGTCCACTGGAGTGAGTCAACCTTGGTATCTTAATAGGGCACAGTCATGGTCTCCCTACTTAGGAGCTGGGGCGGGGTGGGTTGCATAAGTTCAAGATTTGTCTGCTCCTTGTATTTGTTCACAGTGCTTGCCTTCCCTCTTCCCTTTTAGAGCATCCTGTGCACTGGGCGTCGGCAGTGGCACCCAGACCCCTTCCTGATCCACTGCATCCAGTCTTGTGAGGTAAGCCAGCCTCCCCCACCCCACCCCCAGCCCAAACTAGAGTTGCTCAACGCACGGGGACTGGAATGCATAGAAATCGGGATCTTGCACACACACCCCACACACACCCCCAAGGCCCTCACCCCTCCACTGTTGGTCTTGTAAACTGAGCCTCAAGGATCCATCAAGTTCACAAAGGCCCTGAGGCTAGTGTCCTGGACTTCATAAAGTGAAAGCTCCAGGCATCCCCTTGAAATGACCTGATGAAAATTAAGTCAGAAAGCAAGTTAGGCTTGCATATGGTTTTGCACTTCAGTATGTGGGCCCCAGAGGCATTATCTACAGGATCACACCTCTCCGGAAATATCTGACTCCCACCTTGGAGATAAGCTTGACCAGAATATCAGCTCAAAACCACAAGTCTTTGACTCAGCATGTCAAGGCACTACATGGAAATTACAACTGCACTGATAAAGATTGGTCTATGATCGGTCAAAGTCATCCCCCCCCCCCCCAGTTTCTTTGTTAACACTCAGCTGAACATGCTCCTACCCTGGGGGAGTTGTTGTACCATTTGCTGTTGTTGCGTGCCTTTGAGTGGGTTCCCACGTACAGCAGCTCCGTGTGCATCAGACCAAAACACTGCCCATCCCCCAGCCATGTGTCAATCTTGTCCTTTAGAGGTCTTAATCTTTTCCACTGAATCCCTTAGCTACATTAGCCACAGTGATTGCAAGGATAAAGGAGAACTTTGCTGAGGGACGCTCACCCTGGAACCCAGATGTGAGCAAGGAAGGATACTTTCTATGCCACCCCACTGCAGCCCTTTCACCCCAGGAACAGCTTGTGGCAAACATAAGTACTCTGAACTCAGTCACCACAGGTTGGGTCATCCAAATCTGCCCCTGGAAAGAATTCAACCACTTAGCAGCAGTGCTTGGGTAATTCTGGCTCCTCTATTTGGTCTGCAGAGAGAGCCTTTCACGGCCCTTGATTTCCAACATGCTTCCCTACCACACACCCAACCTGGACACTTACTCATCTTCTATTCTTCTGTATCTCTGTACTTCTCCAGACCCAATTCTGGGAAACCAGGAGGCCCATGAGGCCAAATGGCGGGGAGGGGGTGGGCTGTGACAGAATAGGGAAAAGTGTATGGGGAACTGACAGTGAGTGGATGGGGCCAAACTTTCGTGTAGAGTGTGCTTTGCTATGGCGGAGGCCAACAAAATAGCTCCTCTTCTGCTATCATTAGAAAAACAGATGGCAGTGGAGGGGGGAGGCAGGAGAAAGAAGAGTGAGTCTTACGCAGGCAGGGGTGAGAAGGAGGAAGAGAAGGCCATGGAGGGAGGGAGAGAAGCAGAGAGAGGACTCTCAGCGATCTGGGAAGAGATCAAATTAATCCCGAAATTCCCTTCTGCTGCTTCCCATCCATGACTGCAAGGAGGGTGGGGGTGGGGGGGCTGGAGGACAGGGCTTAGAGCCAGCTGCAGTGTTTCCCAAAAGGTTATGATAGAGAACTTCCCCCGTTTTCCTCCCCTCTTTCCTGCACCCCAGTGTGGGCCCTGTGTGGGTGTGTTAAAGGACAGAGTTGAGCTCAAATGAGACATTTTATCACCCAGCCTCTAAGATGGGTTTTCTTGCTTACTTTGCAATACAAAATATACTTCTAAGAAGATCTCTTTTGATATTCCATCTTGCCATCTAGTCTGTTCTGGCTCATGAAAAAAGAAAATCTCCCTGGGTCAAGTTAATTCCAATGTGCAGCACCTCTATATGGAGGGTTTCTGAGATTACAAACCTCTACAGGAGCCGACAGCCAGTCTTCCTTCCGTGGAATGGCCAGGGGGTTTCGATCGCCAACCTTGCAACTGAATGCTTATCCCACACCCCCACCAGAGTGCAATATCTCAGTCTTTCCTACTCTGACTAAGCCCAAGAAACCCATCACCTGTGAGCTCCTTCCCAAGACTCCCTTCTTGTCACTTCTGCTTCCCTGTCTGTTTCCCACTTTGCCACAGAGAGTGTTGCTTCAATTCCCCATCATTCTACACAGCTCGCGGCAGTGCTCACACAGAGTCACGCTCTGTGGCGGAGCCCTAAAGGATCCCTAGCGTGAAATCTGTACAGGAGTAGATTGCGAACGCTTTTCTCTCACAGACTCTCTGGTCGCTTCAAACCTCCCCTGACTTTTCAGTTAGCGGCTGAGGTTTTAAACATTATACCACCAAGACTACTTCCACCACAAGCCCTGACCCCCATAGTAACATTCTCATTGCCATTTCAGTCCCTATTCTAGCAGCAAGAACATAGACGATATCCACAATTGGAACTTGTTCATACATTGCGTTCTGTGTTCCATGGTTTCTTATAGTTAGCTTTTTGGACCTGCACACTCCTCGGCGTTTTATTTCTTGTGTAAAAACTTGGTTTGTAAAAAGGCTTGGGCCTCAAAGAAATCCAGATTCAATTCTTGATTCAATGGGAGGTAGGGACAAATAAAGCTTTTGTGGAGAGTTGCTCTGCAGGATTAGTAGGCCATGCACATAAAGCACTTAGCACCAGGCCTGGCTGTTGTTGTGAGCTATTGGGCACTTGGTGACTTTTTCTCCAATTAGTCAATGAAGAGTGGAAATGGCTGGTGTGGCCGTGGGATAATTAGGTCCACACTTAGAGGGCAAGAAAGGGACTGAAACCGAGAAAAAGGGGAAATGCGTGTCATTCTTGGGTGATTCATTGGGCTTCATAATTCATAGTTCGCTGGAGACAGCTAACTGCTGCACACCATCAGTCACCAGATTTGTACGTGAGTATCTGCACTCAGGTAAAGATTCACAGCCTCCGAAACCCATCGGAGCCATTCTCCTCTGTCCTGTAGGATCATCACTAGGAGTCAGAATAGATGCAATGGCAGTGAGTTTGAGTTTCTGATCTCTATTCTCTCTTGGGGAGTGCTGGCAGCATTGTTGGGTAAGTATTGGACTGCCAACTCCGAGGCCAGTGGTTCAAACCCAACAGCTGCTCTGAGGCCAAAGGGTGAGGCTCTTTACTCCCATGAAGATTGATAGTCTTGGAACCCCTATGTAGATAGGGCTGCTATGAGTCTGAAACGATTCAATGGCAGTGAGTTTGGGCTTTCTGTTCATCCCTAGCGAGTCTCTGGGTGGTGAAAATGGTTAATGCATTCAGCTGTTCACCAAAGGATCAGAAGTCTCAGTCCATCAGAAGAGGCCTGGCAACCTAGTTCTGAGAAAGCAGACCCTGACAACCCTCTGGAGCACAGTTCTGTGCAGTCAACCAACTCCATGGCCATTGTCGATGTTTCCACTGGGCATTCCCTCTGACTGTGTGCTCCCTACTGGGGGCCTTCACATTGATTACCTGGACTACAAGAGTGACTTCCTAGCTGTTCCCCTGTTTCCAGACCTACGTTCATCAGTGATGCCCGTTCTTCCTATGGTTCTTTCTGTTGTTTCTCTTTTGCTGATCATGGTCACAGGAACCCAGCCCCAACTCCTGGATTATTTTAATTTAAATCTGATTCTTTTGCAGATAGTGATTGGGCCTTTTGTCTTTCCCAATCCTTGCATGAACTCTTAGCTCTAAATATACCAACCTTTATAAAGCAATGTTTTAGAATGTGCGAGGACTTTATGCTCTACATTCACTCAATCTGCAACTGAATGTTGGTCATGCCTTCTGGGTGATCCTGGCGAAGTTCTTAGTCTTTCTTCCTTCACTATCCTCAGCAGAAAAGGGGGGTGTTGACTACATACTACATAGGTAGTCAAAACCTCAAACTCATTGCCATCAAGGCAGTACCGACTCAGTGACCCTGCAGGGCAGAGTTGAACTGTCCCTGTGAGTTTCCAAGACTTTTAAGGTTACAGTGAGAATAAATAAAATAATCTAGGCAGTGCGCTTAATACAAAATAGCACATAATACCAAAACTATGAGTCTAACACAAAATACCAAAAAAACCACTGAGTTAATTCTAACTCATAGCAACCCTCCAGGACAGATTAGAAGTGACTCCGAGGGTCTTTTCCCTGTGGACGCACTGGTAGGCTCGATCTTCTTGTCAACAGAGTAGCACCAGAATCTCACCTTCAGTGCATGATACAGGCAGTCCCTAGGTTAGGAACAAGCTCCACTCCTCCATCTGTCATTATGTCACACTTACATGTCAGTTGGAACAATTTGGTACAGTTCCTATGTAACATTAGTAACTAAATTACTTTGTAAATAGTTTAAAGTAGCATACCTTTTTATCCATAAAGATTAAATACTTTCAGATACACGAAAACATTTTAATAGAACGTTAGGGGCTGTCAAGTGGGTTCTGACCCATAGCAACCCTATTCACAACTGAAGAAAACACTGCCTGGTCCTGGGCCATCCTCACAATGGTCCCTGTGCTTGAACCCATTGCTGCAGCCACTGTACCAATCCATGCCGTGGGCACCTTTCTCTCTTTCACTGTCCCTCTATCTGAGCAAGCATGAGGTCCTTCTCCAGGGACTAGTCTCTTCTGACGACATGCTTTCACACACGAAAGCTATGATACTTATAATGATAACATGTTGATCCAGGTTGCCCAACCATGCCAGTTTGTCATGACAGACCTCTAATTTTTAATATAATGGGTTTGGGGGGGTTGTGGTTTGTTACTATGGGTGGTATGTACATCAGCTGTTTGTAATCTGGGGATCCCCTGAAACACACACTAATTATTATATATTTTCATTAGCAGTCACAGATTTAATGTGCCTGTGTCTTTGCACAGCTTAGGTCCCCTTTGTGAATCTCCAACCCCTACTCAATATTCCCTCTGAGTCACTGGTTCTCACCTGGGTCTATTTTGTTCCCCCAGAGACAATGTCCAGAGACAATTTTTTTCACAAACCAGAGAATATGCACAGGCCAGAGATGCCGTTAAACGTTGTACAGTGCACAGGACGGCCAAACATGCCAGTGGTGCTGCCGGGAGAAACTCTGCTATGAGTGGACTCCCATTCTT